ATTTTCAGTTGCCTCTTATCCACCCTCAGGTGTTCATCATTTTCCTGTATCCAGTGGAGTTTACCATCCAATTCTGTTATAGCTCCCACTTCTATCATGTCTCAAATGCCTGATACATCACACCTGGTGTGTGCTGCCTAAGCGAGCACAATCACACCTGGTACTCTCCCTTAGTACTCTTCTACCTGGTATAATATCCGAATTGCACAATCACCTTCTGTGCCAGGAGCTGGCTATGACTCACCTATTACCAGCCAGATAGTCCATAACTCACCTCCACAAACCTATCTTATTGTCAGTTTCCCCAACGTATTTGTTAGGGTGAACAAAAGGAAGCCATGTTAGAACTGGACCCCCTGTTCCTTGAAGGTGGCTTACTGGAAAGTCCACCTGGCCCTAAAGAAAAATAAACAACCACCTTTAGCCATTTACTAGCAACTCCCCACCTGTCCTAGAAGAATGACCTGCCCTTAAGTCATTATCTCAGGAGTGTCAGAGGGCCAATGAGGGTTTTCCCACCTTCCTGGGACTTCACCACCAACCTTCTATATCTACCTCTAGTCTGTAAGCAGCTGTGGGCTCCAGGTCTCTTGCTGGGGACCCTTCCTCAGGTTTTCTTCCTGAATAATAAACCCTGTGCTGGCGCTGAGCTGTCTTCCCACCTGTCTATTCTGGGCCTCTTTCAGTCTCCTGGTACTGTTAGAAGCTAGTTTGAACTCAGGCAGTTAGGGCTGGGGGCCATGAAAGGAGCAATGAAAGTCAGAAAGTATGTTACCAGAAAAATAACACTGATAAATACCATGGTTCCTGTGTCCAGCAGGAGAAAAATTCAAGCAAGACACAAAGATTATAAAAAAAGTAATAGTAAAGTTTATTAGAAAAAACAAAACAGGCTGAGGGCAGGTCACCTCAAGGGAGAGAAGGACAGTTTAAGCTTTAAGGTTGAAATGTTCATTAAGGGTTTATCTGGCTTCTGAGATGATTCCCTAGGTTTGGATCCTCATCTTGTTAAATGACAGAGCGCTTGCCTATATAAACTACCACTCCTGCCCTAATTGAGAGTCTCTGAAATTCCTAACCCCTGCTCCATCCAGTTCCTAGGTTTGGTCATTGTCTTGCTATGAGAGAGTTATCTGTGTAAGTTCTCAGTGCCTGACCTAGCTGATGTTTAAGATTTTTTTTTTTCTTTTTTTTGTGGTACTGGGTCTTGAACTCAGGGACTCAGCTTACTATGTTAGGCACTCATCACTTGAACCACTTCGTCAGCCCATTTTTTAAATATTGGTTATTTTGAGAAAGGGTCTCTAGAACTATTTGCCCAGGGCTGGCTTTGAACCACGATCCTCCTGATCTCTGCCTCCTGAATAGCTAGGATTACAGATGTGAGCCACGGCACTGGTTTATGAATTACTCTTAAGAGTGTGTTAAACTTTAAGTAGCTAATCTTAAGGCAGGCCCAGGACAGGGTGAAAGATACAGTTAAGGGGAAAGGAAAGGAAAACGGTACCAAACCCTAAAAGGAAAACAATCGGGGGCCTATTAGAAAGCTGTATCCAGGGGCTTAAAAAGTCTGCCCCAAAAGTGCTCAAAACCAAACCAAAACAAAAAACCCAACTAAATAAAAACTTTTATACCTACAACTGCCATGACTCAGTCTTTCTGGGCCACTCCTATGCCCTGGGAGTTTCTGCCTTTCCTTACCCTCTCTTGGGATTCCCTCAATTTTGGGGGGTTCTACTCTCCTGCTTTATACTTTTCTAATTCTCTCTCCTTGTACAGGAACTTCAATCTTTGAACCTGGAACTCTAACCTCCCCCCACACCCCCGACTTAACACCTAAACCAGCAACAAGGTGGAGCGGAGGTTGTGGGTCCTACACAAATCTCCCGTTTCAGTACCAGCTCTTGCAGGTAGACATCAAAGCAGATGCTGAGAAAGAGCTTGGGGTACAGAATTGAGAGCAAGCAGCACTAGCAAGAGGAAGAAGTCAAATTCCAGTACAGACTCAACAAAGTTCTGGCCAATGTGGCCAGGAGCTCTCGAGTGAGTGCTGCCTCTCAGAGGAGCCCACAGTGGGCCACCATGGCTGAGGCTTCTGTCCCAACCCTGCTTTCTCACCCACCCCAGGCTGCCTTAGAAAGGAGATGACCTTGGGCATGGCTAATGTGCAGCTCACGTAGACCTGATGGGGCTGACAACTGGGAACTATTCCCTGTACCTTGGGTGTAAGAGATGTGAGCAGCACATCTCCCAATGTGCCACAAGGGGCAAATAGATATTAGCCTATCAAGGAACTAAAAAGAACTTACTCCATTTTTCACCTTTTGGGGAAACTTCATCAGATGATCTTTTTTTTTTTTGATGGGACTGGGGTTTCAACTCACAGCTTCACACTTGCAAAGGAGACACTCTACCTCTTGAGCCACACCTTCAGTCACTTTTGTTCTGGTTATATTGGAGTTAGGATCTTGTGAACTATTTTCCAGGGCTGGCCTCAGACCTCCATCCTCCCAATCTCAGCCTCCCAAGTAGATAGGATTACAGGTGTGAGCCATCAGTGCCCAGCTGGATTTTTTTTTTTTTTTTTAAATATGGTAAGGGGAAGCATAGCAAATGCTGTTTGCATTCCAGTATCCGTTGTATCCTTTTCCTTAATATTATGACTCCTGATTTTTAGTTAGGCAAATGACCATTCAGGATAAAGTTGTTGTCAACTGAACCTTAATTGATACTGTAAATTGGATATGAAAAATAGTGGCTGCAAACCGGACATCAGCAACTTACACCTGTAATCCTTACACCTCATCTCCCCAGAGGTCAGGAGGATCAAGGTTCAAGGTCAGCCCGGGGGAGGTGAGGGCCAAAAACAAAAGTGAGACCCTATGTCAAAAACACCCAACTCAAAAAAGGACTGGTGGTGTGGCTCAAACGGAGGCCCTGAGTTCAAACCCCTTGATACAGTTTGCAAGTAGCAGTGGTTCTGTCAGTATTAGGAAATGAGGCACTGCCCTCCATAGTCCACGCAGGCTTATCTATAATTATGCTTCTAAATCTGTCCTCTTGGGTAGCCGTTAGCTCCATTTGGGTACTTGTCTCTTCGAGTATGCTTTATGTTAACTTGGCATCTGAATCTTATTATCTCCACCCCTCCCACCAAACCCAGATCTCAGTGGTTCCCCCATCTTAGCAAGGGCCAACCACTATCTATTTGCTGGTTAAAAATTACCATCTTTGTCTATTACATACCAGGCGGCCAACCCATCAGGACAGCTTATTGGCTCCACTTTAAAATATATTCAGAATCTTACCAGTTCCCAACATTTCCACTGCTACCTTAATTCCATGATTCATTCACTTTTTAGTGGACTCTTCTGCTTCAACTCTTGAAGCTCCAGTCTTACCCATCACAGGAAGTCACTTTACAAACCCAGGTAAGCCTCCCTCCTCCCCCCCACCCCAAGCTCAGGACCATCCAATCTCGCTCATCTCGCCTTCTAGGTCTTCCCACCCAGGGTCACTGTGCCCTAAACATCCAGTCCTCACCTCCTTCCCAAACACACCCGCACTGAGCTCCAGGACTTTTGTTGTTGTCCCTCTGCGTGCACCTCCTTCCCCAGGCTGGTTCCCAGGAGCTTTCTGCTCAAATGTGCACTCAAGAGGTCTGTCCGGATTACCGTATCTAAACCACCACACCTTTACCTGCTTCCCCCGTCGTGTATATTACTTCGCATCCCCTTAAAACTTCAATCTCCAGCTCTAGAGCGTAGGCGATACAGCGGGATTTGTTTCGCCCCCGTGATGCCTATTCCTAGCAACTTGGAAATGCCCTGGCACATCAAGTAGGCGCCTAACATTTACTGAATTAAATGGAGTTGGACAGAATTTTGGTTAACTTTGGCCCTTGCGCTGTAGGAACACAAAATAAAACATGCAAGGCCTGCGTGGCCGCTTTTGCGTCCCTCGGCTCAGGCTCGCGCCAGAACCCTCAGAAGATCCGCAGCCAGAGCTGGGCCTTAAAATGGTGTCCTGGGGCGCGAGCAAGCAGGACGAGCCTCGCTCGGCAGTATTCTGCTGTGCTGCGCTCGGTTTTATTGGATGGCCCTGGGGCTGAGAAGGGGCTTGGATTACAAACAGAAAGCCCTGGCGCGGAACTCCAAAGCAACCCTGCCCGCCATTTTCCGAAACTCGTCTCCCTGGTAACCCCGCCCGGGTGCGTACGTAAGAAGGGGAGGTGAAGCCTGCGGGTGGGGCCCTCACTCCGGAAGCCGCACCCTCCGCGAAGTCCCACCCTCGAGGATTAACAAAACGCAAAGCAGGACTTCAACTGTCGGCAGCGAAAGCGCGCTCTCGAGCACCAATGGGAACCGAAGGAGGGAGCCGCGCAGGGCGGGACAGTCTTGTGAGCAACAATGATTGGCTAGAGGCTCTTTCTTCCTTTTTTTGTATTGGTCGGACTTCCTTCTCCCGACCATTCAATTGGCTTTAGTCTAGGTACTTGTGATTGGCTCCTCCTGAACGGGGTGTTTGCGTGCGTGCGTGCGTGCGTGTGTGTGGGGCCCGGAGAGGGAAGAATTGTTCATGTAGGATTGGCGCATTTGAGCACTTGGGGGCTTCTTTTTAGGAAGGGGCCTGTCCCATCTTCTCTCTGTCCCGTCTCCCGACCTGTCCGCTTTTCCCTTGACTCGTGACACGAATGGTTAAAAAGACGGGGGTGGGGTGGGGGGGGTGGGAGGCGTGAGATTTGAGCGCGCCAGCCCAGCCTCCAGTGCCTAGCGCGCGCCGTCTGCGAGGACCGCACGAGCTGCCCGCGATGATGCCTGCGCTGTTTGAAACTGCAGAACCCGTTAGGATCTTGGCGGAACCACGGTTCTAGTGGGTTCCGGAGCCCGTGCGTGCCGGGGACGAGTGGCGGTCGCGAGGTGGCTCTTGCCTTTCTCGTGTCTGCAGCGTGGAGACTAGAACCGGCATTTTCGAAGGACGCCACTTTCGATCGCAGCGCTGGCGCGGGCGGAGGCTAAAACACGGGGGTCCTGAGACGGAGGAAAACGCGCCAAGTTCCCCTCGGTGGAGGAGTGGGAGAGACCCTAGCGGCTCTGGCGCTCTGCGAGCGAGACCACTGCTTGCGGCGCTCCTCGCCGTCCTGGGCGGGCGCGGTGGGCGCCGGTGCGGGGATGTAGAGGGCTGCGTGCACTGCAGGACCGAGCGGCGGCCCGGTTCCCGCTCTGCGAGCGGATGGTCACTCCCCCGCGCGGAGGGCGATCGGCGCGGCTCCTCCTCGGGTCGGGACGCGGCGGCTCGGACCGGCGCTCACCTGTCGCGCTCTCAGCCATTCCGGCTGGACACGCCGGCGTCGCCGCCGCGGACCTCGCTTAGGGCCATGGCCGGGTAAGGAGGGCCCGGGGAGGGGGGCCGGGGGCCGCGGAGACGCGGGCCGTTCCGGGGCGGGGCGGGCCGTGCGGGCGCGTTTCCCGGGGGCTCCGGCTTCCCCAGAGGAGGAGGTGAGCGCCGCTCCCTGATGGCGGGGCTTGCCGCGCGTTTCTCACCGCTCCCGCAAGTGTGGAACGCCACGTGTTTAAGCCTTCGAGAAGATAGATGTTGCCCTTCGTGTTGTTCCACGTTTTTCTGCAGAAGTGGGAATGGAACCCTGTCGTCTGCGGGAGAATTGGACACTCAGGGGCCCGGGGCCGCGCTGTCATTTGTCGGCGCCGAGCGTCGGCGCCGCCGTTGTCCGCGGGCTGGCGGGGGTTGTGAGCGTCGGGGGCCGGGGTGGCGCGCTCGCCTGTCACTTAGAGACCCGCTTTCTGTCACTCACTCCCCTGCTCCGTGCGAGCCGCGGGGCGGGGCGGGGCGGCGCGGGCGCTCCGAGCGCGGAAGCGCCGGGCGTTGGGGGGACGGCCCGGCGACCCCGCTCCCAGCATGAAGGCCGCCTCGGAAACGGTAAAGGTCGCCGAAGGAAGGCCACATCACCGGTTTTCCCCTACTCAAGGCAGGTTTTTTCTTTAAATCTGTAGTTTAAGAAAAGTTTGGAGAACTAGAATATTGTGATTTTCAAAGAATTTGATACATACAAAATGCAGCAAATAAGTTTTTACAGCTCCTCCCAGCTCTGCCGGTGCTTTAACTTTGAAGTTTTTAAGAGATGTGCACACCAGATCTGCCGGTCTTACGTGTGAATTACACCTTAAGCTTTTAGAGACTTCGTATGCTCAAGGCCTTGTGGGAGGGGAAGGACTCCTTAATATTCACCACGGCTTTGATTTTTCCGCTCTTCCCGATGGTTCCTACCTCTCACTTTAGAGTTAGAGATGGTAGTTGCTCAATGTTTTTTAGAGTGAATTAACAAGTTATAATGAAAAACTGAGGTTTTGCTCCTTAATACTATACCTTATTTCGTGATGTGGCCCTTAATCTATAGCAGGATAATAAAAGTTCGGTGTCATATCTGCCTTTTAAGAAAGTTAAAGGCAACGTGGCTTCTTAGATTTAAGCAATAAACTGTATTGCAGGCACTATGTTTTCAAATATGAAGTTCTAGTTTATACCATTTTTTCGGTAAATTTGTTTTCACAATTGATGATTTTTGTTGCCTACACCTGACAACCCAGGATTAATGAGACCTTTTTTTTGATTAACAGATATAATTGGTGATTACAGCTGCCCTCTATAAATTAATTCTTGTCAACTCCTTCGGATTTGAAAAGAAAATGCCTGGTGTCGTACCTAGTGAAAGCAATGGGCTTTCAAGAGGTAGTCCATCCAAGAAAAACAGACTTTCTTTGAAGTTTTTTCAGAAAAAGGAAACTAAGAGAGCCTTAGATTTCACAGATTCCCAAGAAAATGAAGAAAAAGCTTCTGAATATAGAGGATCTGAAGTGTATGTATCTTAAGTATCTATCTGTACTTTTATTTTGAATCAATGAAGAAACATTGAACTTTGGTAACCTCCAGACTGACCTGAAAGTCCAGAGGTTTAAAAAAAAAAAATCATTAGGATGCTTTCAGTATGGCAAGTCTAGCAATACATAGTAGGAGTAGGACAAAACTGGTGGTTTCTCACAGGAATCATATATATGGGATGTTGACACATTAACATTCTCCTGAGCCACTTAGATTAACTAAGTTGGAGAAATATTTATTGACTAAAACTTTTTCAGAAATTACACTTACTTGTGGTGCAATACATTATGTAAGGGTAAAGAAATAGTTGGATTTTTTTTTTCCCCAGAAGACTTGACAGTTATTTTGGAGTTATCTAGTTACGTAGTTGCATGTAGTTACAACTACTCATACCTGCTGGAGACACAGTATTACAAATTATATTCAACTTAAAATTAAAATAAATGATTTTAATACAAATTTTTTTGCATGGGGTGGGTTTTGAACTCGGGGCCATGGGCTTGCTAGGCAAGTGTTCTGTCATTTGAGCCACACCCCCAGCCTGCAAATAAAGTCTTTGTACCTAAAAAGAAATTAAGAAAAGGAGCTTATTCCAAGTTGCTCTAGCTAGAGTCTCTACTATCTCTGTATTTAACAAATAGACAATTTTTAAAAAAAAATTTTTTTGGAGGTACTGGAGTTTGAACTCAGGGCTTCTGTGCTTGCTAGTCAGGCGCTTTACTGCTTGAGCCATGCCTCCAGTCCATGAGTAATTTCTTAACATGCCAATAATCAAGTTAAAAAGATTGTGGACCACAATGAATGTCAGCATTCATGCTTGTAGATACTTTGAGATGCTAGTGTAATAATAGCTACTGGCAGTAAAACAAAGATACTGGGGACACGCTGATAAAGTGAAGGAAAAGAGTGATAAAATTGAACAATTTGAGGGATAGCTGTATAATTCTCTTCATAGACTTCCCTTCTTAATCTTTATTCAAACACATGTGGCCTCTCAAATATTGTTATAGTAAGGTTATTGCAGGGTTTTTATTCAGAGTTAAACTATTTGTTTAAACTGTCACAGTAAGCTAAACAAATCACAGCACTAGTTTTCAGTTTTTAACTTTGTAAAATGGGATTAATATACTCTTAAAGGAAATTATTTTGAGACTGAGTGTAATAATGTTTTAAGAAACTTCTGGGTATGTAGCAATTTTTGAGCCTGTACAAATGTTTTAAGATGTCATCTGACTGAAATTGTTATACTTTTCAGATCATACTACTTTTGGGAAAAAACTAAATCTAGGGGAGTAGTATTTCCACTTTATTTCCTTAAGACGCTTCTTCATTATACCTTTCTCTCCTCTATACTTAATAGTGATCAAGTTGTTCCTGCAGCACAGTCCTCACCTATGAACTGTGAGAAGAGAGAAAACTTGTTACCATTCGTGGGACTGAATAATCTTGGCAATACTTGTTATCTTAATAGTATACTTCAGGTAAACTGACAATTTTGCTATGAAGTAAAACACTAGTAGACAAAGTTCTAATATTTAATGTTGCTGAGAATTTGATGTTACTGGAAGATTTTAATTGTCCATACTATCTTTGCTTTTGACTGTAAGTAAAACAGTTGGCTAAAATAATAATTCTAAGTTGCACGTAACTAAACTTCCTTTGGAATAAGAGAAAATGATACATTAAAATACAGGTGAGACAGCAAAGTTTGGTAGACCTTGGTTAAGTGGAAAATAGCAAACCCTTTATTTCTCTGCCTGATTCCTGGGGCTACCAGTATTTGTCTTACCCTTAAAACTATGATGTTACGTTATGTCCTTGTAACATTAAATCTTAGCAGTATTGGCTTGGGCTCAGTGCTTTGTGCCAGAGGTAATAGTGGGCTCCTACTGATAATATAGAGAACAAGTTTTGGCAGAAAGCTTAGGTAATGTACATTAAAAGTGCCATACAGAAGCATACAGTGTTTTAATGATTTTAGGTATATTGTGGTTGTTTCATAAACAATCTCACTTTTATAGGTATTATATTTTTGTCCTGGTTTTAAATCTGGAGTGAAGCACTTATTTAATATTATTTCAAAGAAGAAAGAAGCTCTAAAGGATGAAGCCAACCAGAAAGATAAGGTAAAAAAAAAAAAATTAAAAAGCAATAAAAAAGTTAATGGAAGTTTACTTGCTTAGAAGTAAAAGAATAATAGATTATCAAGAGAATTCAGGAAGAGAATGACAGGTTATTATAATGCTATTATTTCTTATAAATGAGAATTGGATTTCTCAATGTGTAGTCAGAAAAGCAGTTGTAAGGCAGCTGACCAGATTATCGATAGCTTTGTATAGTGTTTTCTTTATTTCTCATGTAAGCATATGATCTACCACTAAGCTATACCCCTCGCCACAACTTCAATATTTAAATATTTGTGTTTTTAGAAGAAATCCTTGACTTCTATAATTTGGAAGCCATTATTGACCACATAGAAAATAACTAAAAAAATCCTCCTAAAATCAGTTTATTTGTATATTTGGTGAAATTAGTGCTATGATGAAAACAAATTTAGAAAAACTAGATTTAGTTTGATCAGACAAGGAGGAAGGTACTTAATTTGTTCATAAATGAAAGTATTGGTCTGTGTGTTCTTTGTTGACAGGGAAATTGCAAAGAAGATCCTTTGGCAAGTTATGAACTTATATGTAGCTTACAGTCCTTAATCATTTCAGTTGAACAGCTTCAGGCTAGTTTTCTCTTAAATCCAGAGAAATACACTGATGAACTTGCTACTCAACCAAGGCGGCTGCTTAACACACTCAGGTATACCCAATAATGTAATTTTACAATTCTGATTTAGCTCCTTGTTTCAGTCTTAGGAGGAAAGTGATCCATGAACAAATAGGCATAAAGGGCAAAGAAAATGGATATTCCTGGTATGTAGTCCTTTATATTCTCGAGGCTTTGAAAGCTGAAAGTTTTTTCATAAATTTGGTATTAAATTCAACAGATTTGAATTTGTATGAGGTTATTTATAGAAAAACTATATTTAAAGAAATACATGAAAATTAATGTGCTTATAGAATACTGCTTCATATCATGTTGACTGTCTTTATTTTTGTCTTTTGTTTTTTGGTGATACGGATTGAACAGGGTTCCCTGCATATTAGGCAAGTGCTCAAGTGCTCTCATAGAACTACTACTTTTTTTTCTTTCCAGTACTGGGGTTTGAACTCAGGGCTTCGTGCTTGCTGCCTAGGTGCTGTACCTCTTGAGCCACTCCATTAGCTCCTGATTAAAAACAAAGTAACATATTTATGGGTCCCACCTATCACCAAATCAGAATCTCTGGGGGTAGAGCCCAGGAACTGGCTTTTTTTTTTTTAAATTTGGTGGTATTGATTGGGGTTTGAACTAAGGGTCTCCATTTGCTAGGTGTTCTACCGTTTGAGCCATACCTCCAGCCTTTTTTTTGTTTTAATTATTTTTTCCCAATGGGTTTCAACTTCTTGCATGGAGCCTGCCTCAGACAGAAATCCTACCTAGGATCACAGCTGTGTGCCACCACATCTTGCCCCCCTTACTAGGCAAGTGTTCTACCACTGAGCCAGGTCTCTTGCTCTGTATTATTTTTCCTAAGCATATGTAGTCCTAAGGATATCAGGTTAGAAACTATAGGTCTACATTTAAAATGTGTCATGTGTAAGAACTGTAAGTTCCAAATAATTTATTTTTATTATATGTGCTTAGAAGGGAACCATTATTACCTGGGTTAGATTGCTTTTGGGAATTGTATTTTAAAATGAAGCTATTCTATATTTAAAATAGCATTATGCCTAGGAATTATATTAGGGTAAGTCTTATAAAAATCATTTAATCATTCAGATTTGAGGTAGACCTAGTTCAGTATACATTGCTTTACCTTTGTTAACAGAGACTGTAGTATGGTGGTCTAAGCTGGTTGGCTATCCTGGGTTTGTTTAAGTAGCTTTGTGACTTTAGGCAAGTTATTTGACTACTTGGTACCTTAGTTCTAGTATTTGTCATTAGTGGTAATTGTAACAGTGATTACCTCATGGGGTTATTGTGAGGATTATACATACTTATAAAAAGGATTTTGATGGTCTATGATAGTATATCACTATTAGTTATTATTATGTCTGGAAGAGGACCAGAGTCTTGGGACAATGAAAATAGGGTAGAATTTTGTCTTTTAATTCTAAAATTTTTCAAATTAGTAGCTGAGTATCTTTAGACTTTTTAAATATAGATTTTTTTAAATATAGATTTCTTTCATGTTACTTTATCTTCAAAATTAGAATAGATGAAATGGACGTTTTTATTTATAGGGAACTCAACCCTATGTATGAAGGATATCTGCAGCATGATGCACAGGAAGTATTACAGTGTATTTTGGGAAATATTCAAGAAACATGCCAACTCTTAAAAAAAGAAGAAGTAAAAAATGTGTCAGAGTCAACTAAGGTAGAAGAAAAATCTCACCAGAAAGAGGAAGTGAGTGGAATTAACAACATGGAGATTGACAATATCAGGAATTCTGAGGACAATAAAGAAAAACTCCCAAAAGGAAATGGGAAAAGAAAAAGTGACAATGAATTTTGTAACATGAAGAAAAAAGTTAAAATATCCAAGGAATACCAGTCATTGGAAGAGAACCAGAGACAAACTAGATCAAAAAGAAAAGCTGTTGGTGATACATTAGAGATTCCTCCTAAGATAACCCCCAAGTATGTTTCTGAAAATGAGAATGCAAAACCCTCACAAAAGAAATCAAGAGTTAAAATAAATTGGCTTAAGTCTGGAACTAAGCAACCCAGCATTCTATCTAAATTCTGTAGTCTGGGAAAAATAACAACAAACCAAGGATCAAAAGGACAATCTAAAGAAAATGAGTATGATCTTGAAGAGGACTTAGGGAAGTATGAAAGTGATAACATAACTAATGGTTGTGGATTTGAATCTCCAGGAAATAATGTTACACCTGTAAATATTAATGGAGTTAAACCCATAAATAAAGGTCAGTATAATTTTTAGACTGAGGCAGAGAGTATTAACTGCTACAGAAATAGAAGTTTTCTCTTAGATACACATGCAATATAGCCTTTGTGGCTAAGATGTTTTTCGTTAATGCTGACTATGAACTGCTGTGTTTTAAGTACTGCTTAAGTATTTGTGTACTTACACTGTATTAGTATACTGTTATTAATCTTGTGCTAATATTAAACTTTATAAACTTGGGAAGTCCAGTTCATTTTAATGACTTAAAAAGAGGTGTTTTATAAGAAACTTTAATAAGGCAACAAAACTTTTTCTTGGGCAATCTTTACAAATTATTTGCTTCTTTTCAGCTGGTACTTAGTTATATTCCTACTATTATAGGAAGAGACTGGTTTTTTTTTCCTTTTCTGTGCAGTATTTGACATAAGCTCATAAGGGAAATTTTTAGACAACTGAAATAACTATGCCTTCAATGAACTACAACTTGATTTGTCTATCTACATTATCAGGGAAGATGTGAGGTATTGATGTGGTTAATGGTGTTGAAAGTGTATCCTTACTCTCTGGGGTTATTCTATATGGAGATGTCTTTGAGGGAAGTAAGTTGAAGACACAATCCTCTTTTATTTTAAAGATAGTAGTAATTCATATTTAAAATTGCCTTTATAGGGACTTACATTTCACAAATGAGACACTTTGTAATTCTAATCTGTGAAAACAGGCCTTTTAATAATGTCGTACTTTATGTCAATGGAAAATTGGTTCTTTGGGATATACTGAAAAACTAATGAGTATGGACATATTTTCCTTTGTTTAGGTGTGGAACAAATCGGTTTTGAGCTAGTGGAGAAATTATTTCAAGGTCAGCTGGTATTAAGGACTCGTTGTTTGGAATGTGAAAGTTTAACAGAAAGAAGAGAAGATTTTCAAGACATCAGTGTGCCAGTACAAGAAGATGAGCTTTCCAAAGTAGAGGAGAGTTCTGAAAGTAAGCAAAATTGGAGTTCCATGGAATATGGTTTTCGTCAATAGATCAGTGTCATGCCCTTGGTTTAATATGGAGCCTTTCTGCTTATTTAGCATCACTTGCTAATAACATTTGAAAATTGTAGGATCGCTATATAGTGTTGTTAGAATAATGTTTTAATAAGTTAACTTTTGGGAACCTTAATCTTTTGGAGTTACTGAGGTTATTTTTAATAGTATCTTAGCCACTGTTGTGTCCAGTGAGAACCATAGAAAGTATGGAAATGTCATGGGAAATAATAAAGATTGGTTTACCTGTCAGATATTGAAATTGCCTATTAAACTATTCTGTCTTGGGCTAAGAGACTAGGCTGATCTTGGTTTTACTGTCCCTGTATATATATTTTGACCAATTGTAAATATTTAAAAGATAATTATGCTATTAAGGATGAACTTCTGAAAGTAAATCTTTTTAGTTATTTGGGATTGGATTGGCCAGTTGAAATTGAGTGCTACCCTTTCACATGGAACTTGTTTAATTTTTAATGAGAGATGTATTTGAGTATGAAAGGATTCTCTTTTTATAGTTTCTCCAGAGCCAAAAACAGAAATGAAGACCTTGAGATGGGCAATTTCGCAGTTTGCTTCAGTGGAGAGGATTGTAGGAGAAGATAAATATTTCTGTGAAACTTGCCATCATTATACTGAAGCTGAGCGAAGTCTTTTGTTTGATAAAATGCCTGAAGTTATAACTATTCATTTGAAGTGCTTTGCTGCTAGTGGCTTGGAGTGAGTATTGTAAATAAAAGCTATATGAAGAAAATAAGCTGCTATAGAAGTTTTGTTTAAAATACAATAATAGGAATATAATGCCAACTGAAATGAAGCAAATAATTTGTAAAGATTGTCTAAAAAAAGTTTTACTATCTTATTAAACAATTTCCTTATAAAATGCATCAATTAATTTTATTATGCATATATTGTATTAAGTATGATGATGTGGGCTATGGATGTAGCTTGGTGGTAAAGTGCTTGTCTGGCATCCACAAGATCCTGGGTTCAATCTCTAGTACACAGAAGTATTTACATACATCTTTTTGTATTCGTTCTGTAGATGCTAGTATCAGAATTCAATTTTAGTAAAACTGATTAAAGTAGGGAAGAAAATTTGGATACATTTGTTTTGATGGGTGGAAAGGCAAAATTCTTTTTAGTTTTAAGGTAAGCTAGGAAATCAAACTAGTTCTTGAAAAATTGTGAAATTTAGTTCTGTAGTTGAGAATTCAAATGTCTAAACATAAGTATAAAATGCTAATTACATTTTGGATAGTCTGTGACTTTCTGACAATTTCATTGTAAATGTCACTGCTTTCCACATTAATGACTTGTTTGGAATTACTATGAGAGCTTCCCAGTAGCTCTTACATACGTTATGATGCCATAAGATGACTTACAGTCTTTGTGGTAGTCAAGAGGATCTTGGTTTCAGGCCAGCCTGGGGGAAAAGTTAGGCCCCCATCTCAACAAATATATAGGGCAGTAGTGATACATGCCTGTGATCCAAGCACCGTGGGAGGACTGCAGTCAGAGGCCTGCTATGGGCAAAAATGTGATAGCAAAAAGGGCTGTGGTGGGACTGCAGTGCTACATACAGCTCTTGGGTGAGGCCTTCAGTTCAAGTCCTAGTACTGCAAAAACCCCACAACCATCTGATTTCTCACTGCGCAAATTAGGAAAATGAGGGGAAATACTCTGTTACTTCAGTATTTTTGTATTTGTATATTATATAAGTATTATTCAACATTGAGGTCCTGTTTATACTCTGCTTTGTTTATTCACATGAGAACTAAATACTGAGTGTTTATTGAAACTTGTATTTGGTTTCACATGGGATATAAAAATTTTAATTTAAAATGGAACTGTAGGAAACCTTCTCTTTTTTTCTTCCAAAGGTTTGATTGTTATGGTGGTGGACTTTCCAAGATCAACACTCCTTTATTGACACCTCTTAAATTGTCACTAGAAGAATGGAGCACAAAGCCAACTAATGACAGCTATGGATTATTTGCAGTTGTGATGCATAGTGGCATTACAATAAGTAGTGGGCATTACACTGCTTCTGTTAAAGTCACCGACCTTAACAGTCTAGAACTAGATAAGGGGAATTTTGTGGTTGACCAGATGTGTGAAATAGGTAAGCCAGAACCACTGAACGAGGAGGAAGCGAGGGGTGTGGCTGAAAATTATGATGATGAAGAAGTATCGATTAGAGTCGGTGGAAATACACAGCCAAGTAAAGTTTTGAACAAAAAAAATGTAGAAGCTATTGGACTTCTTGGAGGACAAAAAAGCAAAGCAGATTATGAGCTATACAACAAAACATCTAATTCTGATAAGGCTGCCAGTACATCATTTGCTGAAAATAGAAATTCTGAAACTAATAATACTAATGGGACCCATGAATCTGATAGAAACAAGGAATCCAGTGACCAAACAGGTGTTAACATTAGTGGATTTGAAAACAAAATTTCGTATGTAGTGCAAAGCTTAAAGGAGTATGAGGGGAAGTGGTTGCTTTTTGATGATTCTGAAGTGAAAGTTACTGAAGAGAAAGACTTTTTGAATTCTCTTTCCCCATCTACGTCTCCTACGTCTACTCCTTACTTGCTATTTTATAAGAAATTATAGAGTGAGTGTACTCTCCTTGTATATATAATAAACCTGGACAAACATTGGTAATACTGATTACATCAAAGATCTAGCTATCTTGAAGCTATTGGATATTATTGGTCTCTCTAGGCTTTTACATAAATAGCAAAATTTGAAATGCTAAAAACCATGTTTATTTTTAGAACTCATTTTCCTTAGTAGAGACTAGTGATGCATTAGCTTCTGGGAACAAACTTGTATAGGTTCTTAATCGAATTATCCAAACTGGAAGCATTTAAATACTTTTGGATTTTACACCGATTTTTTTTTTGTTTGCTTTTTAAAATAAAGTGCTTGTATTTGTATTCTCCGTATTTTGGAGTAATTATCTACATGATGTTTATAGGTCTGTGGTTTTTCACTCAAAAAATACAATCTCATTCAGTACATCTGGTTTTATAAGTTAAAGCCAAATCTTTGATGGGCTGTATCAGAGGCACAAAGTCTAGAATGTGTATATTCACAGTGGTGTACATTTTGTGCCTTGAATTACTTTGGAAAGTGTCTCGGAAAACCTGGACAGTCCCCTCTATCTTCATAAGAATTTTATATGTATTTATGAAGATGATTCTGTATTGTAGTAAATCTTTTTGCGCATGGACTAATTTGTATCTCTTCATACTCATTCTGCACGATCTGTATATAGTACATCAAATTTAGAGGTGTGACCTTAAATTTACCTTTTTTTTTTAAAACTGGGAGGTCAATAAAATTTAAACTGCTTAACAACTATGTATACAAATGCCTGATTTTCTTTTACTTGAATGTTTTTGTAATAGAATCCTCAGAACAGAGTAATAGTGTACAAATACAGAGGAGAGAATAAACATGCAGTAATTACCTTTTTTACAATTTCTGACGGTGGAGGTAAATTTTTGCAGGAGAAATTGTTTTTTAGTCCATCCAAGTTGTCAGAGGTTTACAATAAAAAATTTCACATTTTAGTTGTCCTTTAAAGTAGACATAATTTAGTGGAATCCAAAACTGAAGAATTTAAGATGATGCTTTGGGTACACATAAAAACTTAGTTAAGCTTTAATTTGAAATATAGTGCACTAAATTGGTAAATGGCCAGTTATCTTACGACTTATCAAAGGACATTCTTGGTATTAAGATTTCCTTAAAAATGACTAAATAAATGCTACTAGATTAACACATTCCATTTCAAGAAATAGAATATCTGGTCAAGTAAAAAATTACAATTACATTTTTCCACAAGATGGTATGATGGATATAAAGTCATGATCTCCTCCAGCCTACATTGAGACTCACTAATGGAACTTTCCAAAATAAATAGCCCTGTGCACTATCCATAAGATTCTGCTGAAATATTTAGAACATAGACTATAACTGTAATAACTCTTAATAACTCAAAAGAGAGCTAGTGTTAACTACCGGTTTCTGATGTGAAATAGTTTATCAAAAAAAAAGACAAACCCATGTAAGTTCATAAGTATTCTGAATCATACCAAAGTTGATTTTAAAAGTAAGAGGAACCTCTGTTCTGATTCATCAGAAAGTAACTGGTATTGCATAACTACATCATAATTACATAAATCTTAGATGTCAGTACTGTCACTGAGATTTCTGTTAACAGTTCAGACTTACAAACGTACCCTAATGAGAAGTGACATAGGGGTTACTTAATATTTTATCCCTTATGTCTACCTTCCTTTGCCTCCCCAAAGAGGAGAGAGTATGTTACTTCTGTGTGAGTCAGTTCTTGACTCTGCTTTTCTTACTCATGTGTCTCCCCTTTTCCCAAGATTTTTTTTTTTTTGCAGTTCTAGGGATTGAGTCCAGGGTCTTTTGCATGTCAGACAATAGATATTTGTTCCAACAATGTAGGCTCATAGAAATGTTTTTGTGATCCAGTCTTTGAGCTGATGTAGGTAAGAGGAATTTGAGATACATTTGCTCATTATTAAAGTTTGAAGGGGGAATATCAACCAACACCTGTATTCTCAAGAGAAATAGACTCTTTAAGCTCTTATTTTATGAAGGCCATGGTATTAAATCTGGTAAGATTCATGTAACTAGTCAGATATTTGATGCCATTCTATAAGCTACTACACAAGAAAACATACATCAAAATACTTCGCAGAAATCACGAATATGCACTGTTTTGGGGAAATGTGCCAAGTAACTGAAATGTAATTTTCTCTCTTTTTTTTGCTATTACCTTTTTCACATGAAGTTACAACTTGAATGAATTTTAACTAGAGCAACTAATTTTTTTATCTGTGTTTTGTAAAATCTATACAAGTGTCAAGGTAACTGTGACTTCCCATTTAACTGGTAGAATAAAATCAGTAACCTTCAGTTGTGTTACCTTCATGGTGATGTAAAATAGCTTTAAAGCATATTTCTCATGTGACCATTAAAAACTGGTCACAGCTTGTTTAATATGAAACAGAAATCATGGTAGTTGCTGAGAGTCATGAAGTCCATACTAATATAACAAGACTGGCCCTGATCCATAAAGATCAAGCAGCTGTCACTAGTATTAGCTATTTCATATTTAATCATTTATTGATAAATGTACTATCAGCTGTAATTCTAAGTTCCTTTCTTTGGGATTTAAGTGGAAAACAGCTTAGAAACTAGTTTTAAGACTTCACAAACCAGTTACCTTTTGCTATTAACTCATTTAATTTGGGATGCTTCTTTGTCATCATAAAATGTAACTTTGAGTTCAACTTCCAATAAAAAAATCTTAAAGTTCCACTCATTAAAATTAGTGTAAACATTCACATTTAATAGTACCTTTAAAATAAGTATTACTACATTTAAAATGGTTCCAAAATGAATCTATAAATGGTAATATAAATTAAAAAATATGAATGTAAAGTAAATAACATTAGCTGTGGTATAAATAATGGTAAATGTATAGTGTACCTTGGAGTCATTAAAATGTCTTTAAAAAACAATAGCATGTTACCAGAATGTTAGAAACCATAGCCATGATTCTCAAACTTTTAAGTCTACATTTGAAATCATTTTGGCATTCTTCAATGAGTTAATTGTTAAAATTTCCAGAATTACATCCCAAGTTCTATTTTTTAATAGCTCTTATTTTCACACTTAATGTTGAACACATGGCTCTTTTAAAATGAGTAAAACAAGTGCATTTATTTTAGAGATCCATTTTGCGAAGGCTCATTCGACTGAAGGAATCTCTGGGAAAAAAAGAGGACACAGTTAAAACAATTTTTAAGATATGTACTAGGAAAAATGTTTTTGCGTATACCTTTAAGATGTTTTATATGCTTTTTTTTCTGACCTTTCAAGTTAGATGCTCATCCTACGTATTCTGCCTTATATATTCTGGCTTACAAATTTCTCTAGAAGTATATGATAGTAACCATTTTGCCAAATGTATAGCCACTTATCTATCCAACAGGTGCTTCAGATATTTGATAAGGACTTAAGGTAAGATGGAGACTCAGGAGATTAAGGGTTATTAAATGGCAAAAGGCAGGTGTTTCTTTGAAATACTAAATTTAAAGTCTTAAACTAGCGAGTCTCAGACTTTGTCTCAGATCCTTTTTACACTCTTAGAAATTACTGAGGACCCCAGAATCTTATGTGGTTATATGGTATTTACCATATTATAAACTGAAATTTAAGAACTTTTAAAAAATAACCAATTATATGCTACTATAAAAAGCACTTTGAGAACCACTATTTTAGGACAAAGGCCTATCACAAAGTAATGTTCCAGATTTTGTAAATCAACAGAATTAAAAATTCAAATTCTAGGAAATTTTTTTCTAAATTCTGAAGACTAGGATAATATTCTTAAAATACGCCAGGTGCAGTGGCTCACACTTAGAATCCTAGCTACTTAAAAGGCAGAGATCAGGAGTATTGCTGTTCGAAGCCAGCCCCAGCAAATAGTTCACGAGACCCTGAAAATACCCAACATAAAATAGGGCTGGCAGAGTAGCTCAAGAGGTAAGAGTGTCTCCTTAGCAAGTGTGAGGCTCTGAGTTCAAATCCCAGTATTGCCAAAAAAAAAAAAAAGGCTTTCTAAACTTCAAAAAACTGCTTGCAAATGTTAAAAACTGAAGCTTAGAGGAGGGGCCACAAAGTACATATTGGTGTGTGTGTGTGTCTCAGGGTGGGGGAGGATGGGAACAAAGGATATGGTGCAAATGGGAAAGTTTTCTTCAGATAAAAGAACACAGCCTTTCCATGGGAAGTAGTTGGAGAGAACAGGAGAAACTGGAACCAGGATTTGGACTAGGATCTGGCTTAGCTATGTCAGGTCCCCATCACCCTCATCACTCTCTGTGACCTCTGACCTGGTGCATACAACTGATGGAGGGAAGTGGCAGCTGGAAGGAAAAAATTACAAAAAGATTAGAGGGAAAATACCTTCCCCACTAGGAATTTTGAGAAGAAATCACTTTTCTAGAGTGTGTCCCATCAGTATAGGATGGTGGAAGCAAAATAATGCCAGAAAACAATCTGAAACACCCCTGGGCTCCCTCAGTCTCTATGGCTTGTCCAGTAACTCAGACGGCAGGCATGCAGTACCACGCCTGTCTAGTAGTATAAAGCATTAGACCACTGAAGAACAGAACTGATACTTGGTTGATTAAACAGCAAGTTTAAGCTTCCTTTTGCAGTGTAGTATACCCTGCATTTACATTCTGTTTTCATATAAGCAACTTCAGTGTTGCTTCCAAATATTAATTTATCAGATAACAATTTAATTGGTTTACTGGCTATTTGTTATTTCAAAGAAAAGGGTGATAAAATACCAGTACCACAATAATCCAACAATTGTTAAGTTTGACTTCAAAATGCAAAAAAGGCAATTTATTTTTAGCAGGTTTTGTGTCCTTTCCAGAATGAGCTAAAAAACAAAATGCCAGGCACTTTCATAGGAACTTTGCATTTGTAATGCTATTTAATCTTCATAGCCTCTTCAAAGTAAGTATTATTACCTCATTAAAGAAATGTAAAAATTAAATTATCTGCTCAAAAGAACTAGTATTCCATTGTACAAAATTTCATTTCTAAGCTATTTTAATTTTTAATAGTCAATATTTAGTGGAGAAAAATACTGGAGCCTTTTTCATATGCAACGGGGCTACTTTACTGCTTCAATGAATATCTAGATTAGTGTACTATTTACTACCAGAGCTGAGGGAGAAGAATGCCTGGCTTATGATACATTCTAGTGAATTTTTCCAAAAAGTGCCACAAAGTGTGACAGGACTTTGCAAGGAATAGTTTTAGGAGGCCAGATTTACCATACTAAAGTAGGTGTGCTTATCACAGCCTTACAGTTCTCAAATTAGAGGAAGAGCTGACTTTTGTCTTATAACTGATTAATGTATAAAGTGATAAAATTATACTATAATTAAACTTATTAAGCCTCAGGGGGACCTAATATATACTAATTCACTATTAAAACCAATTGGATTTTTTTTGGGCAGAACTTGAGCATGCCCAGTCCTTTGTTTTTCAGGTAGGATTTTAAGCTTTTTGCCTAGGCCAGCCTTAGATCATGGTCCTTCTACTTCCATGTAGAAATACCCCACCATACTAGCTTGTCTTTTGAGATAGGGTCTTGCTTTTTTGCTTGGGCTGGCCTGAACCATGATACTGTTATCTCTGCCTCCCAAGTATTTAGGATTATACGTATGTGCTAACAGCCCCCACTCAGATTTTTTCTCAAGAGCTCCCCACCCCAACAACAACAACAAAAAAAGCATACCTGTGGCAAGTGATAGGCAACACTGCCTTGTACAACTGAGGAATCTTTCTATTTATCAGTGGCTGTAGAGCCTCTTTAAGGCGATGATAGTTTCTCTCCAGTTCCCTTTGATACTCCTTTTGATCTGGTCCAATTAAGCTCTTATTTTTTCTTAAGGCATCCTCACACCTAGGAAAAAAAGCATGTTATCAAAAGACTTTTTGGCATAGTTTGTGACTTAGTTACACACACACACATACCCCCATGATGAGGACATTTAATTTTTCAGCTGAAATATTAATCTAATTCTCTTTTAGGTTTCAGGCATTGTTCAAAGCTCATATGTTACTTGGTCCCCTTCTGATGGCTCTATTGGATCACAAAGGCACTAACTTCATCAATGTGTTAATCCCTTGATGAGTTCATACTGAAGGGGCAATTAGGAGGTGGGGCCTTGCTGGAGGAAGTAGATCACTAAGAATGTGCTTTGAAGGGTACATCTTGTCCCTGGCTCCTTCCTTTCTGCTGCTTTCTGTCTGCCATGAGGGGAGCACTTTGCTCCAGCCTAGAAGCAATGGACCACTGTGTGACCATGGATTGAAACTTCTGAAACAGTGAGTCAGAATGAATCTTTTCAGGGCTAGTGGAATGAATCAAGCACTAAAGTGCCTGTTTATTAGCAAGAGTGAGGCTGTGAGTTCAAACCCCAGTACTGCCAAAACAAAATAAATCTTTGCTCCTTTAAGTTGTTTTTCTCAGGTATTTTGTCACAGAGATGAATTGTTGAACAGATGATCAATTGAGTTCATTTAAAATCTGATAAACACTTCTAGTTTTCACTAAATTGATAATGATTCTATCCATCCAGCCATCCATCTAGACACAGGACCTTGATATATATATAGCCCAGGACAGCCTGGTACGGACTAACCCAGGTTGGCCTCAAATTTCTGATTCTCCTGCCTCAGCCTCCTGAGTGCTGGGACTACAGGTGGATGTGTACCTACCATGCCCTACGTTTTTGCAATGCTGGAAATCAAACCCAGGGCCATGCATATGCTATACAAACCACTCTACCACCAAGCTAAAAAGCCCCCGAAACAATACTTTTTAAATTTTAAATCTGAACACGTTTATTTCACTTCATCACTAGACTAGAAACTCTTTAAGGATGTAATCTTACTCATTTATATAGTACCAGTGGCTTCTGGCACAAATGCTTTGCCTGTGTTCAAATAAATGCTCTCATAAATGAACATGATAATCCCTTATCTACCTTACTCAAATATTTAAGAAAAATATCTGGATTCTGAAAGATAAAGGATGTTTTGCAGCTGAAGTGATGTTTAGAGGAAAATGTGTACCCTTAAATGTTTATATTAGAAAAGGCTAAAATTGAAGAGTAAGCAACTTAGAATAGACGAAACTCAAAAGTGTAAAGGAAGGAAAAAGCCAAAATATATACTAGAGTATAAAAAACTGCAAAAGTTAGAAACTGGGTGTGGTATATTCCTGAGGCTGAGGCAGGAAGATCACTTGAGCACAGGAGTTCAGCGCTAGCTAAACAACATAGTGATACTCCATCTCTTAAAAATAAATCAACAAATGAAAACACAACCTGCACAAATTGATTCTTTAAAAAAAAAAAAAACAACTAAAAATACAGATTAAGATTTATCAATACTAAGTGAGAGAAGGTCAAACATCCCCTACTAAATATTTAAAATGGAACATAAATAAAACAGAAGGCTAAAAAGTTACAGTGTTTGGCACCAGCGGCTTACGCCTGTAGTCCTAGCTACTCGAGAGGCTGAGATTGGGAGGATCATGGTTCATGGGCAAATAGTTCAGGAGACACCATCTCCAAAATAATCAGAGCAAAATGGACTGGGGGTTTCTCAAGCAGCAGAGCACCTGTTTTGGAAGCATGAAGCCTTAAGTTCAAACTCCAGTCCCATTAAAAAAAACAAACAAAACCCCCCCTCAAAACTTATCATAAAACTCTTGTAACTAATTTTAAGTAAGTGGGAACTAACATTATTTTGTTAAAATATCTATAAAAAATCTGCAGCAAATACTATACATAATGGTGAAAACATTTCAGATCAAGTTCAAGAAAATAAGGTGATCTATTCCTTAAATGTCACTAAAAGACAGGAAAAAGATGCTACAGGTAAGTTATTAGAATTAAGTGACTGGTAAAGTTCTCATGTAAAATTAATATATAAAATCCAACTTCATTTTTGTATACCAGAAACTTTTAGAAAATATTTTTTAAAAGATATTATTAATAAAAGCATACAAGTATTCTAAGTTAATCAAAAGATATTCAAGTTCTCTACACAGAAAATCTAAACTGTATTAAGAAAACATTTAAAAGATCTCGGGAAATGGAGAAATACACAATGCTCATGAGCTGTTCCAATAAAGATGTCAGTTCTCTTCCAATTGATATATATATTCAGGTTACGTATCTTTTACATGGAAGGAGTGACAAACTTATTCTAAAACTTAAAATTTACATAAGAAAGAAAAGAGCCAAAAAAGAGTCAAACTAAACAAGGTGAGAAGAACTGCTCTACTAGACACTAAAACTTAGTGTAAAGTTGTTGTAATTAGCATGATACTGACTCAAAGAGAGGCAGAGTAAGAGAATAAAGATGCATTCAAACATGGGGACTTAATTTATAATAATGATGATAATGTGAAACAATGGAGCAAGGGTTCTAGGCAAATAGATGTTCCTTGAGAAAAGAAAGCTGACCCAAATCTTACACCATATTTAATAAATGAATTCCGTCTACCCAATAGGCAGAGATCAGGAGGAATGCAGTTCGAGGCCAGCCAAGGCAAAAAGTTAGCAAGATTCCATCTCACCCAGTAAAGCTGGGCATGGGCAAGTGCCTAGGTAGGAGGTGAGATCCTATCTGAAAAATTAAAAAAATAAGCACGTGAGACCCTATTCGAACAATAACTAAAAATGGTGAAGTGCCTGCCTAGCATGTCTGAAGCCCTCAATTCAAACCTTATAACGCCCCCAACCCCGATACTATTGAGATAACTTTCAGCAGTATGAACAAAAATCAAACTGATCCTTACTTTGAAATATGCAAAAAAAATTGCAAATGTATTCTTCAAAAAGTAAAACAGGCTACGTAAGTCAATAAAGAATATTACTATAAACTCAAGTAAAAAATAATGAACAAAAGTGAACCATTTAACTACATTAAATACAAGAATTCATTTTTCTTAAAAAAAGTGATAGGCATTGAGTTCAGAGAACAGATTCATGATACTCACAACATAAAGCATTGCATATCCAGAATACACACTCTAGAAATCAGTAAGAAAAAGAATCTAACAGTAAAAATGGCAAAAAACTTGAGTTATAACTTTATAGAAAAGGAAAGTAAAATGGCTAAAAAGTTCATGACCAGAAATTTAACCTTTTTGGTAATCAGGCAAATGCCAATTTAACCCACACTCATCTATCATTTCACACCTAATACACTGGTAAAAGTTAAAACCTTATATACAACACCAAATATTGGTGAGGAATATGTAGTAATGGGAACTCAAACAATATTATTAAATTTGGTTTATAAGCTTTGGGAAACAAATGTGGCATCAGCTGGTTGAAAATCAACCAATAATAACATGGAATAGAGGATTCCAAGATGGCAACTAGAGGGAGGAAGCAGAAAGTGTGCTTCCTAAAGTAAAATCTTGGAGAGATGCTGGAGATACACCTTGTAGGAAAAACCACCAAGAAGAGGCAGAACTCCGACACCTCCACACCCCCATCCCACACATAGCATCCCCATTCCATGTTAAACGGAGAAACCAGGAGGGCTCCCACACTGCCAGATGCCAGCTCCTACCAGCTCGAGAGAAGTAGACCACAAGGTGAGCTAAGTGGCACGTGGTACTCCCACAGACAACCCTGGGCCAGATCAGCATAGTCCCCTGGACAGACTGACGCCCACCCAGGAAAAAAAAAGAGAAAAAAACGAACTGAATAATAAACAAGCAGCTGGGGAAAAAAAAAAAAAAAAGGACATGTAGCAAAGAGGGTGGGGCGCCCTGAGCCCCAGAGAGTGGGGGTGGGGCAATCCCTCAGGTGAACTGTAAATAAACAAATGGCCAGAGAAGGCGGGTGTGGTGCCACCTTCCCCAGTATACTTGGAGAGGTGAAGGCTTGTAACAGCGGCTGAAGTGTGGCACACTCTACCAGACCAGGGGGAGGAGCACCTCCCCACGCGAACTCTAAATAAAAAAAAGACTGCAATTGCAACAGGCAGGTAGAGCTGTACATTGGAGAAAACAAAAGGGGCATGCATTTAGGTGAACTCTAAATAAACAAAGCCTGCAGCTGCAGATGGCTAACAGTAGAAGGCAAGTGAGCTGCAGCCTCAGGCAGACATTTGCAAAGCTGTCTCCAGAATCCCCCTTTATTTTTTCTCTTCCTTTGATGAGACAACGATAGAACTAGGAATGGATGCTGAATGACTAACTGAAACTGTATTGCATTTGAACTTGGGATTTTTTTGTTTGTTTTGTTTTTTTTTTGGTTTTTTGTTTTTTCCCCTTTAATGAGAAAACAACAGAACTACTTCTCAGACACTGAGACATCTTCAGGACTGGAGGCTGAAGGACCAACACCAAAATTATTAAGACTGAAACTTTATTGTATTTGAACTTGGGGATTTTTTCTTTTCCTTTTTTTTTTTTTAATTATCATCCTCTCTCTATCTCTCTAGTGCCTGTTTAGCTTACTGTTGATTAGTACACAATCTCTTCCTGTTTATTTCTTTGGCTCTTTTTTTGTTTGTTTGGTTTTTATTCTTTGTTTTGTTTTGTTTTTTTCCCTTTTTCTTTACCTTTTTGCTTTCCCTCTCTTCTCACCCTTCCATTCTAGTTATCACCATTGTTATTATTACAAGCTAGACAATACTAAATTACACACAGTACAGGGACAGTAACAATAGCAAGGGCAATGATGGGAAGATGGAAAAAAGAGGGAAACTATTTTCCACCCAATAATAAATTAGTACTGGAGCCAGAGGGAAATGAAGAAAACAGATACCCAGATCCAGACTCCAACAAAATGAAGATAAACTATGCCAAAGAACCCAGTGAAGCCCACAAGAACACCCTGAAAGAAGAGATCCTGCAAGTAATCAATGAGA